AAACATGGTTTGCAGGTAATGTGTGGAGAGAGGTAGGCTCCTCCACAAAATGCTTCAGAGCATGTTGTAAAATCCTGCCGCTCTCCATTGACTGAACAGGGAATCTGAAGTTAGATGACGTATTCACAACCATACACACATTTGTCTTCATTTGTATTTGTTCTCAATTCGTTTTACCATACAGAGTTAGCATGTGGAATAATTGAAAACAGGGCTTTTAAAGACAGTCCTCTGATAGTGTTGGCTTGAGAATTTAACCTCTCTTTATCTAATTCTTGGGCTTTCCTCACCATTTGTTCTCAGAGAATCTGAGGCTCTGGTGAATGAATTAGAATAGTATCCAAAATATGCATAGTATTAGCCTGTATAGCAAATTGCATAGAGCATACTGCTTTTCGTTTCTGTACTTCTGCTTTGCTGTTGGGATTTTTTTTTGTTAGTTGGGTTTTAGTACTATGTAATCTGGGTAGAAAGAAGATCCTTGTGATCTAATGGAAATCAGATTCTAGGGGCATTTTGTTAAATAACTCTGCTGCTAGCAGATGGAATCCCTAATTGCAGAACAAGGCTGCAGAAAAGCTGTCAGGTCCTTTTGAAAACTTCAAATAATGCTGTGCAAGTATGAAGCTGCAATTATGTGTAGTATATTAATACATTAATACCAGTTTAAGTACTGTGGATTAGCTAATTTATTTCCCCTCCAGTAAGCTGTCTCTCCAAATATTAACAATGTTTTCTCATGTGTTTGTTGTGTCTTGAAATGAAGACAGCAGCCTTATGTAAAATGTTCAACATATCGTGTACGTAGCCCTAAAACATTGGGTGATCCCTCCGTAATCAGTAAGAGAGAGCAACTGCAGCTTTCACTAAAGATAATTATGAAGTATGTAATAATTGGTTTATTTATTATGGATTTCTAATTCCTACCCCTTCTCCCCTGTTGTGGCTTGCTGCCACATCAGACAATTGATGTTGCTCCCTGTCTCATCTGGGGACCATAAAGTCACATTTTGGGTAATACAAACCCAGGAAATACCAAGACTCTCTTAGGATTATTATTACTAATAGAGTTATCTATATATAGTTTATATATACCTATAGTTATATATATATAAAAAAAGCTATACATATCTGTATCTATATATAGTTATCTATATATAGTTTATATATAGGTTTATATATATGTTTATATAGTCTGATAAACCTTAAATGAAAATTTTATCTTGAATTTTTAAATGGGATTTTTGTTGTTTTGTTTTATTTTATTTTATTTAGCAAACAGCAAGTTAGAAAGCATAAATCAGATTTTGCATGGATTGGCTTGCTCTACTCCCATCGCAGAATGAACTAATGGAAATATGAAATACTTTGTATTCTGGCAGAATCCAATATCAATTTACAGCCTTATGTATGCATGAAAATCCCCAGAGCATCTTAAATGCGTTTTAGAAAGTGTTTCTTTAAAAGTTGTTGTGCCCATCATTGCCGCTTCCTCACCTTTTTCCTTCTTTTTTTTATGTATTTATTTTTTTTAAAACCATTTTACAATAAGGAAGGCCTGAAAGGTTTTTGTTAGAACTGTTTTTTAAGGACCAGGAAGATGTTCTGGTTATTCCTCACTAGGGAATATCAAGTCAGTTCTTGTTTCTCCTTTGCTTGAAGATATCAGAAGTGAACTTATTTGTGATGGAAGCTGCTCTGTTGTATCTGGGCCTATTACAAACACTGTGGTGGTTAGAGGTTTATTAGCTTTCATCTTAGGACCTGCAGTTTGAGTGCGAGTGTGCTTATTTTACATTGTCACTCAAGAAAAGTGCTGGTTTGGTGTGTCTCTGAACTAATTTTTTGGCCCATGAGCAATAAGATCCTATCCTATATTACTTCAGTCTTCTCTATCTGAAAAACTATGTTTTGTTTTGTAAAATGTTATAGCAATGAATGGATAACAGAGTAGAAAATGTAGTTCTACATGCTCAAATAACTTAGCTCTGAAAATAGATTATTTATTAAGAATATTTAATATTCTTAAAGAAGAATATTGCTTCTGAGACATCATCAGGAGATCAGATTTAAAGAGCACGAACCTAAATATTCTAAAAACTCTGCTGCTGTTGTCTCAGGTGAAGTAATATGCACAGTGTAGGGTACCACAAAATGTAGAAAAACTTAAAAGGTTCTAGAGAATGCAAGAAAAAATAAAAGGTTTGGAGAATGTGGCCTAGCAGGAAATTTTGAAACAGCTTGTTTTATTTAATTGACTTCAGAACAGGGAAGAATAAAGAGAGCCCAATAATACTATGAAGTACTTAGCTGTTTTAAAAAAACAAAGGACAGACAGTAATTGATTGTTTTCAATGTCTGTTTGATTTAGATTAAGACTGAGATGCTTAATTTTCTCTGGACACAAAACTAACTGCAGACAGAGGAATGAGTTTTAATATTTAGGTTCCAATTATTACTAAGTAGATAAGAGCAAGGGTTATGTGACTCCTGTCACACAGCACATTACTCAGTTGAGGCTGTGATTAGAATAGCTGCAGAACTTGATCTTGAATCCATCTGTTGGAAGGAGAGTGGAGGTCTCTGAATGCCATGACACAACTTCCTTATGCCCTTATTCCAGACTGTTATGCAGCCATTGTCATCAAGTCTTCTGCCCAATCGAATAAATGCAAGATTTTCACCAAAGATTCAAGATAGATGCTAAGAACAGCTTCTAGAGTATATGCATAGTTGAATTCTGCATTAGTTACCTAGACAGGTCTTTAACACTGTCACTGGAGATATTTAGAAAACACATTAGACATCTGTTACAAATAGCCGAGATGTATTTTAACTAGTCTTGGAAAAGGTAGACAGAGTTGCTGATATCTTAATTACTTTCAAATAATTTCTTAGGTTTATTTTAAAATAGTTCTGCACATTCAAAATAACCTTTCTGTTCTAAACTTACATTTCTCAAATGGTTTTGGCTGTGGTTTCCTCTGATGGCAAAACTGCGCTGCAGAAAGTTAGGGTGGACCCTTGAATGAATTTAGCTGAATGTTTTCTCTGTGAGAGAGAACGTGTGAACATGCAACTGTGTTATCCTCTGTACTGAAGGGCAGCACTGTGACGGGAGCTGCATCTGCCGTCATGATATTTGCAAAATGGAACACTTGTGTGTGGATTTGGGAATAAGAAGCTTTAGAAATGTCTGTAGCAAGCATGTATGCCAGCAGGATAATGAGTAATGTCACTTTACATATGGGTTATGTGCTCATTTCAGTGCTAGTTTCTGAAGCACTGTGGCACATCTACATTCTTCAGCATTTTCTCACCTCTTCTTTGTTCCCCACTAAGTAATTTAAAATTTATATGTGATAATTAACAAGGTACTTCCTGTTTTCTAAGTTAGATAACTGCCATAATGTTTAACTGTTTTCTTCTAGGGCAGCTTGGAAGGTGGAAAAAATTTATTTGGAAATGTTTTTAACACATTTAAGTTATCAGTGACAGTGTATAGACTGACCAGTTCTAAAACTGATTGTGAATTGTGTTTCTACATTCATACCAGGTATTCTAAAATCTTAAAATATAGTCAGTCATTTGTAGCTATTTTGTATTTTTCTTTGCAGAAAACTCACTTGTGTTGGCTACTGACTGTAGCTGCACCATAACTCATATGTTGTACTAATAGTACATCAAAAGCTAGTAATGGAGAATGGAATACTTTAAAGTTGCTATGTCAAGATTTCATTATCTCAAACACTCAACATTAAATAGCGGCTGCTGAATATACATACACAAAATATAAATAAACTTATATAAATAGACACACATAAGTGGTGTCCCTCAAGGATCTGTACTGGGACCAGTGCTGTTTGATACCTTCATTAATGATACTGACAGTGGGACTGAGTGCACCCTCAGCAAGTTCGCTGACAATACCAAGCTGGGTGGTGGGACTGATGTGCCAGAGGGAAGGAATGGCATCCAGAGGGACCTGGACAAGCTGGAGAAGTGGGCCCAAGTGAACCTCATGAGGTTCAACAAGGCCAAGTGCAGGGTCCTGCACCTGGGTCAGAACAATCCTCGTTACCAATACAAGCTGGGAGATGATGTGCTGGAAAGCAGCCCTGAGGAAAAGGACTTGGGGGTACTGGTGGATGAGAAGCTGGACATGAGCCACCAATGTGCATCTGCAGCCCAGGCGCCCAACCCCATCCTGGACTGCTTCACAAGAAGTGTGGCCAGCAGATGGAGGGAGGTGATTCTGCCCCTCTGCTTTGCTCTGGTGAGACCCCACCTGGAGTCCTGCATCGGCTTTGGAGTCCCCAACACAAAAAAGACATTGAAGTGCTGGAGCAGGTCCAGAGGAGGGCCACAAAGATGATCAGAGGGCTGGAGCACCTCTCCTGTGAAGACAAGCTGAATGAGTTGGTGTTGCTCAGCCTGGAGAAGAGAAGGCTGCGGGGGGACATTGTAGTGACCTTTCGATACCTGAAAGGTGCCTGTAAGAAATCTGGGGAAGAACTATTCACAAAGGAATGTAGCAATAGGATGAGGAGCAATGTTTTCTAACTAGAAAAGAGTAGATTTAGGTTGGATATTAGGAAAAGGCTTTTCAACATGAGGGTGGTAGATCACTGGAACAGGTTTCCCAGAGAGGTGGTGGAAGCCTCATCCCTGGAGATATTCAAGGTCAGACTTGATGGGGCTCTGAGCAACCTGATCCAGCAACATTGTCCCTGCTGACTGCATTGGGGTTGGACCAGATGGTCTTTAAAGGTCCCTTCCAACACAATACATTCTATGATTCTATGATTCTTTTACATAAAGTCTTATTATATATTCCAAATATAAACATGTTATATTTTTTTTAAAAAGTGAAAAAAAAAGGAAAGAAAAAGCAGCAATTACTATTAAATCAATTCTATTTAAATTCCAGGCTTTGTAACTGAAGTGAGGGGTTTATTTTCAAGAAACCAAAGACAGAAGTAGCTCAAGCCAAGGGAATATCAAATGGTATCTTTTTCCTCAGGAGTCCCATGCTGTCTGACTGAGGCTAAATGTTCTCTGTGGTATTTAGCAGTAATTGCAGCATAGGCACAACCATAAACAGCAGCTGCCAACATCATTAGACATACAATTCCACAGACAACTCCGGTTATTACTACAGTGGCAATTGCATGACGCAAACTAATGGGCCTTGGCTTTGGTTTGGATTCGCAGTTTGAAAGTCTGTTTTCACCATGATCATTTTGATGAGCGTGCTTCATAGAACTTCTGTGCTCAAAGCTATGATGGTGAACGCTAGCCAGATGAATGTGAGCTGTCATTAGAGGGCATGCCCCAAACAGCTCATAGGGAACTTTGAGGAGGTCCTTTCCTTTCCGAATCCCTGGAGCTGAGCAGATAATGCCATCACTTATTCCTCCTGAAAAAAAAGCCAAACCATATTTATGGTATAAAGATTTGGTGTTTTCTGAATTATCTTAATGTAAAATTAACAGAAACCTGAGGTAGATTTAGCATCAGATTCGACTTTATACTTTTAAACATTTATATCTGTAAGATCTTTTTCCAGTTAGATCAATGGTGAGATTAGTACACTTTAACACTCATATAAGAAAGTATTTGCAGTAAGCAATCAGGAATTAAGTTATCTATGATTTTATAGATGTAAAAGTAAAAAAAAAGCGGTATAAAATTAAGAACTAAAGCATATATGAAAACAAAGAGGTATTAACAGCAAATTGATTCTATTCAAATTCATACCATTACTTCTTTTTATAAAGTGAAATGGAAGCAATATACATAGTAAAGATTTCCCACCTGATTAAAATTAAAAAACTAAATTTAAAAAAACCTAAAATTAAAAAACTAAATCCGTGTGCTTGAATAGAAGACTGGCGTCTCACCTGAACTGAAGCACTCATTATAATTATTTACAAGTATGCATCAAATGTCAACTGCCTGAGGCAGATTCACCTAAAAATATTGAAATATTTTAGAGTTATATTGGACGCAACAGTCAATACTTTAAAAGTCAATGTTCTATCTTTAGCAATGTTTTGTTAGGTCTTGCAAGAAATATCTGTAGAACAACCATACAATTTTATCATAAGTATACAATATAAGAAGCAGGAAAGATTAAATTGCTATGTAAATAATTTTTCTTCTTGAGATCCGCCCAAGTAATTTTAGGGAAATATAAATGTAGAAGAGAACATGTTATTTGGGCTTCCTTTAAAACTTGATGCTAAAATGAATTTCCAAGTACCGTATCACTTCACTTAAGTAGCCTGTGCAATGTTTGTGAAGGGCCTCACTGACCTTCTAAACATTGCTTTTTGAAACAAAGTACAATACTTATGCTGCTGGCAGAGTAATTAAAATAATCTGATATTTTTATCTTGGTTCATTACATTCTTCTGCACAGAGAAGTCAGAACTCCTCCTGAAATTTGTTGTAGGCAATGGTTCCAGCATACTACTATTGTAGTATTTTTATTGTATGGCAGTGGCTTTACCTCGCCCAGAGACTGTTCCTTTACTAATTGTGTCCCTGCACAGCCAGTACAGTTTCCCAGTGGGCCTGTATGGATCTGATGTCAGAAAATGGCAATCCATTCAGTCATAGGCACAATGGACCATCTTTACATATGCTGTGGTGCAACATACTCCATGTCACTTCCATAGACAAAGAGATAATCAGTAGTTTCATCACATGCAAGCATCAAAGCCTAATTTAGAGAAAATTGCAATGTTGTTCTGAAATTTCAGAGTCTGAACATACTTCCTGGGCGAAATAAATTAATCTATTTTAATACTTTATCTCTTTGGAATTAAATCATATTCTCTTTTCTACAGCATAACTCATGAATATATTTAAAAGCAGGTGTGACCAAAATATGAAGCTATGTTTATTTATAAAATTCACTTTTCCCCAGGTCATAGCACTACACTTTTCTGTCAGGAAATTGTCAATGAATTTAGTATCTCTTCTGGTTAACAACAAATTAGGAAGAATTACTGGGCAAAAGCAAACTTGTCCAAGGTGTTAACAAACATTTTTAGGTAAAGTAGTTTTAAAATATTAAAGAGCTCTTAAGTAATAATTTATACAGGAATTAGAATCCTGAGTTCTCTTAAAGTTAAATAGGTATCTATATCTGTCTTGATGTTTGCCCTCATGAATCAGGTAAAAAGCTCTTAAACATTAGGTTAGTTTCTAACAAAAATGTATTAGTAGAATTAAAGCAAGTATATGTGCACAAGTATACTGTTTTTTATATATAGAGAGATATGGATATGTGTATAACACATGCTACACATATGTATTTCGAGAATGTATTTGCACAAACTATTTGGTTATGTGTGTATATTTTCTCTCTTCTCCTTGTGCTAATATAAAGTTCCTCTATGATTCTAGTTTGCCACCTGTATTTATGAAAGCATCTATATTCTGACCTATGCATAAGAGTATATTTTAGTGTGTGTATTGGAGGGGATGATCTAAGGTGTGGGGTAAATTGTGGCACCATAGTAGTGAAGATCAGTCAGATGCTGGGTAAGTGTTTTCATGTACGTTTTATAGAATGAGAGGAATACCTTACCTCGGTATAAAAAGCTCTCCAGCCACAGTTTCAGGCCAAAGACATTACAATTACATTGCCAGGGATTATCTTTGAAAAGAACCACTTTCAGGTTTGGAAGGGACTCCAGCAGAACTCTTTCCATTTTCTGAAGTTTGTTATGCTTCACAGACAGCAATGTTATATTCCCTGTGCTGTTTCCAAAAGTCTCAGGCAAACGTATAATGCTGTTGGATGACAAGTCCAGTTCTTTTAGGTTTGGGAGGAAACTGAAAGTCTTGTTTTCTATATAATGAATCAAATTTCTGGTTAGGTTTAGAACCTGCAGATACCGTAATTTTTGGAAAGTGCCTGGTGCCAAACTTGAGAGAGAATTATTAGACAAGTCCAAGATTTTGAGCAGTGGTGTTCCAGTGAATGCATTTTGGTTGATTCTCCAAATACGGTTATTCTGCAACTGTAGTATCTGAATTTCAGGAGGTAAATGGGCAGGAATTTCAGTAAATCCTCTATTCTTGCAGTCTGCAGTCTTTGAAGCTGTATGGCATAGGCATTTGTTGGGACATCCAAGAGCTGCATACATTAACGAGATGACACTCAAAACCAAAAGCCAGTTACCTGAGGCACAAGTGAAAGAGCATTTAAAATTAGTTTAAAATGTTTGTATTTTGGCAATACACAGGTCATTAACATGTGTCAAGGATATACAGCTCCATAGTAAACATTAATGTAGATAGGATAATGAGAGTTCATTACTTTTGCAATACATTAGTAAATAACAGATAGTATTGAAGTACTTCTATAATGCAGAATAAAATTAGTGCTTCCATGGTATTAAAATGAAGTACCTCCCATGGCTTTATCTTAAGTACAAATTGTTTTTGTGAGGATTTGCCATCAGCAGAGCACTGATGTTTGAAGGGAATGTAACAGCATTTCTAAAATTATTAAATGTCAATGTTTTTTCTGTAGTAGTAAAAACTTTGAGCCATCTTGTGTCAGAAGTATTGCAAGTAGAACTTCTATTTTTCTTTGTTTTAATAATTGTACTACCTAGAAATAATGAAGTTGATGTGCTGCCAAGAAAATAACAAGCTTCAAAGACTTTTCTATAAAAACAGTTAACAGTACAATTTCAGGAATCCAGATTCAGTTTGTTCTTTAAAATATCTATTTAGACTTATTGCTTTAATTCCCCTATCTGAATGCCAGCTGTACATCCCATAGATAAGTTTCTACACAATCAGCAAAAATTTGTCAAGAAGCTGTTAAAAAGATAAATCAGTTGACACAAGTACTTAGCAATATTTAGTATTTATAACTCTCTTCTGCTCCCTGATGTTTAGTTCAGTTTTAACTGAAAAAAAATAGTTTTTACCTTACATATCTTGCTAATGATCTTACGTTGACAACAAGGTGCCACTTAAAGCTATGTTCATATACACAGCATGAAATTAAAAAGAATGATCAGATGATGTTGAATAATTAAATTTTCTTTTACTTAAGAAATTCAGAACGTAACATTGATTTTGAGATGCCTCAATACTTACTATTTCAAAATGAAAAGCATTTTAGTTAGTTACTACTTGAAACCTTGGGAAATTATAGGACATACTGCTTATTGACTTACAGAGATCAAACATCAATCAGTAGCAGGAAATACCATATTAAAGGAATATCCATATTAAAGGAATATCAGTGTATGATTATACCATTGAATACTACAAATTATAGTTTTATTTTGAGACTACAAATTACGTTACTAACTACTCCAATTTTCACTCAAAAATGAAATTGTATTTAAATTAAAGTTATACATAATCTGTAATAACAAAAATTCAGCATTCTTGCAAGCAAGGTAAGCAATACTTTGAATTTGTTACATTGTTCTGCAACAGTTGGCTTCAGAAACTGCAAGACAGCTTTGAATGCAGAATTAAAACAAACACTACTTGGCAAGGAAATGCTTAGAGAACAGAAAGATTTCATTATTATTCTGAATGTTTCAGTATCTCACCTTTCATTCTGCTTTGCTTGTTCTTCACCTTGCAGAAGATTCAGTCCAGTTTTCTGATGTAGAACAGTAGCAAATACTTTGTTCTGATTCCCACTTCAAATCTGTAATATGCTCATCCAGTTTTCTGTCTGTGATTCTGGGGGATTTTTTTAGTTGTCTTTTTTTTTAAGATTGTATCTGTGGCTTGTGTAGAAGTGCAGCTATTTCTAGTGAGTTACTCCATCAACCCTTGATTTTTTCCTTTTCACAATATTCCCCCCTTGCCCCTCCCTATCCATTTATGCCTCTGAGAGACTTACTCTGCCTCTTAATCAGTCAACAGGCCATGCAAAGAGTGTCTGTCAACTCTAACTGGACAGCTGTAACATATGAACAGTGACCTGATAACCCTGCCTTTTCGATTTATTAATCTGCCTCAAATGCAAGGCACGAAAAATAAAGCTGCCTTTTAAAATCCAGTATAGTTTCTGAATTCTGGTGGATTATTAACTATGCTGTGTCAATTTTTGCAAGATCAGATGACTCTGAACATGGATTCTGATTATGCCAGGCTGTGACTGGAGGCAGTGGAGTGTGTAATATCACTACAAATAGGCCTCTGAGTTGATGCCATAGTTTTGACAGTGCACTTGTTTGCTCTTCTAGGCTTATTCATCTGACATCCATTAGTTGTGCTGACAGGATTTTCTTGCATGGGAACACATGACTGGTGGCTCCTTCCATAAAAATGGCATACATACTGATATAGTCACCAAGAACACTGAAAAAAATCATTTATTTTTGGAAAGAAATAGTGGATGATACTAAAATTCTACTTTATGTGTTCATATAGTGCCTTTGCTTGTCTCTTTGTTACTTCTTCAGTATAACTCATTCATACTGTACCATCTACAACAATAAAAAGATTAATGACTTGTGACTATGGATATGGGTAATGCTATGGAAGGAATCATGGAAAAGTGAGATCATCAGGTCCAAACTGCTGTTGAAAGCAGGGTCTTACAAGAGGTTATCCAGGGTCCTGTCAAACTGAGACTTGGATATTTCCAGCAAGAGAGATTCCATAATTTCTCTGGGCAACCTACTTCAATATGTAAGTGTTCTCAGATTTAATAATTTTGTCTTACAACTAGACAGAATTTTCCTTGAAGCAACTTGTGTCTATCATCTCACCATGCATCCTTGTGAAGAAAGTAACCCCATCTTCTCCATAGCTGCCTTTTGGTTACTGAAAGTCTGTATTTAGATCTCTGCCACCCTCACCTACAGGAGAGAGCTGTAACTGTTACTATTTTATGCTTTGCTGAATTGTTTCTGACACCAGTCAAGATACCTACAAGAACAGTGAATACTGGTGAGCAGTGAAGAAGAACATAGAACAACTGACATTCTGTAAACATGACTGTGCAGCTCAAGGATACTAGGATTATTGCTACAAATGGAAGACTGTACTGTCCTTGACACTCTTGACCATACTGATAGGGGATGAAAGTCTGCAATTTAGTATGGAGGAATACTTTAGCTATAGATTACCTGGTACCATAGTAATACTAAATAAGTCCAACTTTACAAATGGAGAGGGATCAGCTGTAATGTACTTTAAATGAATGTCGGGTTAAAGCGAAAAGCTTTTCTAACCTTTGTTGTACAGTACATTTACTTTTTATTTCCTTTCCCAGCCCATGTATGTGCACACACAACTAAATGTAAAAATGGCTATTATTATTATCATCAACCTTAGAAGTTGTAACCTTGCTAGCTGCAGATACTCAGCTTTGCTCTTTCAAAGAACAAATTTAGGTTAGGTACTTGTTGCTTGAGATTACATCCCTCTGTCCTTGCATTGTCATCCCTTGTATTGATAATAGCCCTTTTCATGACTTCTGATTATATTGCAGGAGGTACTAGCTATTATGTTAATGTGTCTTGGTATGATAAGACTTTTTCACACTTTTAAATTCTCTTTGATATCTAAAATTTTATTTAGGCTCATGAATTCAAAGGGTTTCTTTTTTAAGTTGTTTTTCTTTCTTAACTAATGTTTGCTGACTTCGGTGGGCTTGCAAGCTCTCACAGCAATTTATGTCATCTAATAGAGGGCTTAAAGAATGTCTCTTAACTGCCTCTCTCATTTTAGGTAAGTCTTTGCTACTATAATTGTATTATTTTTAGCATGCGCCATATTGAAGAGATGTTCATAGGACAAGGTCACTGAAAGTTAAGCACTGTGGGAGGTTCAGTTCCAACAATAATGCAGAGGTTGTTTTATGTGCTCTGAATTGTGGTGTAAGAAGTTATTACCCTTTTTTTTAAATCTTCATGCCGAGTTCAGATTTGGAAACATATGATTAAGTCTGTCAATTTGCTTTTGGTGTAGATGTGGCTATTTTTTCCTTATATTGAGAACTCTGAATGCACATGTTTTGTAAACGAAAGTTTCCGTAACCTATAATCCATGCCCTATTGCCATTTATTAGTAATAATACTTTGGTTATGACAGAGAAGTCTGATGTGGTGAAAATTATAGTTGTGATACAGGTAGAGATTTGCCAGAAACAGAATAGCTATGAAATCTACTCTACTTCTGGCCTTTTGAACAACCAGCAGGATCCTTTTAGGTTGTCTGATGTGGTGCAGCAACTGTGTTATTGTGACTGCTTAAATTAACTTGTGCCTTGTTGTAACAAGATACGTTTCCTTTTGCGAACAGCAAGACAGCCCAAAGAACTAATACCCTGTCCCTGTTGGCTGGTGGGGGCAGTTCAGTATTTGCTTTGCCAGCAAACACTTTGTTGCAGTAGTTACTGCCGTCTGCTTTATAGGAGCAGTATGTGTAAGAATAATCTTTTTATGGCAGAACATTATGATAATAAAACTCTAGCAGAAAGGAAACAATTTAAATATTTCAAATACTTAAAAGCTACAGCATTTGGGTTCCACTGCATTGCATATCAAGTCCAGGCAGAAATGATTATATGAAAAAATGTTCCTAAGACCACAGCAGACAATATGTATACATTCTCTTTATTGGATTTGTTTTCCTTATGCTTTTGAGTGGTAAGGTATTAAAACTGTGACACTGTACAGGGAAAGGGCATGTGCTTTCTCCTTACTAATGTCTGTCTCCAGATTGGTAGAACAGCTAAGCTCTTGCTGAAGACCCTACATGCAACTCTGGGCAATACAGACTCCTCTTCATTGTGGATCAGGACAAAAAAGAATTCATATTTTTTAGTGAAACAGCTCATACTTCTGTTGTTAAAAGTCTTCCCTTTTAACTGACATTTTAACATAACATCATGGGGAAAGATCTTACCCTTTCCCAGCTATGAATCTGAATGCTGTGCAAAGATGACAGGACATAAGAAACTCTTGAATCCCTCATGCTTTTCTTTCTATGAAGGCAATCCTTATACTCTAAGAGCTCAGGACCCTCTCAACTTTTGCTTGCAGGGTACTAGGTTTTCAAAATTTGACAGAAATTAGAAGGCGGCCCTGGATCCTACTTCTGCCTGCCTTTCACAAGTTAAGTATAAACCAATGGATCAAACCAAATTTGACTTGAGGAAGAGTTATAACTTAAAAAGCTGGCCATATTTTC